TTGCGCGCGAGCGCCTCGGCGCGCTTCGCGGCGATCGTCGCGCGCATGCCGCCGTCGAAGGGCGGCGCCGCGGGAGGCAGCCGTGTCCGCGCCCTCCGGCCGCGGCGCGTCGACCGCGCCGCGGCCCGACCGGTCGCCGGCGACGCCGCGCCGGACGAGCGCGCCGGCGCGGTCGTCGGAGGCGTCGCCGCCGCGGCGAGGCTCGACTTGGAGCTTAGGGGCACGCCCGGGGCGATCGATCTGTCGGCGGGCGCGGCGGCTACTGGTCGAAGAGCGAGTCGCCGCCGCCGTCGATGGAGGCGGCGGCCGCGGCGAGCTGGTCGGCCTCGCTCGGCGGCTTCGCGGGCTCCGGCGGCGGCGCGTTCGCCTGCTCCTGCTGCTGGCGGAGCACGGCGAGGCTCGACGCCGGCGGGAGGATGAAGGCCTGGCGCGCGTCGCCCGCCGGGTCGCGGACGGCGGCGAGGACGCTGTCGAGCGTGGCGACGGTGATGCCGCCGTTGTTGAGGAGGTGCTCGAGGCCGCGCGCGGCCGCCTCGTCCGCGTCGTCGCCGGCGCCGACGGCCGTCGAGTTCACGTAGGCGCGCACGAGGTCCGCGAAGGAGAGGAACCAGGGCTGGACGTTCGCGTTGCCCCGGACCGTCGCGTTGAGCTCCTTGAGCGAGAAGAGCGGGATGCCGCCGTCGAGGTCCGCGGCGCCGGCGAGGGTCCGCGCGGCCGCCGCGACGGACGTCTCGTCGGCGAAGTCGACGACCTTGGCCGCGTCGGCGCCCGCCGGCAGCGTCGCGTTGACGTCGACGTAGCCCGCGCCCTTGAGCACGAGCTGCCGCGCGACGTGGAGCTCCCGCGGGTCCGCCATGACCGACACGTCGCGGTCCGTCGCGTCGAGGGCGAAGACCTGGTGCAGGTCCAGCGCCGCGAGCTTGAGCTTGAGGCTCTCGTCGCCGGCGAGCTCGCCGACGCGCGCCGCGTGCGCGCGCGCGACGTCGACGTCGGTGAAGAAGACCTGCTTCGGCAGCCCCTCCTTTGTCTTGTCCTCCCGCGGCGGCTCCTGCATGAGCACGGGCCGGCCCGTCTCGTCGGCGAGGCAGAAGACGGGCACGACGGCGAGGATCTCGCTGATCTGAGCCTCGCTCATCGTCGCCGACGCGCTCGCACCCTTCGCCGCCGCCTTGTCCTTGTTGCCGCCGAACCAGCCCGCGCCGCCGCGGACGCCGAGCGCGCCGCGACCCTCGCCGTCGGGCAGGCCCCAGGGGCCGCGCGCGGCGGCCGCGCCGATGAGCAGCGCTGCGAGGAGCTTGTTGTTGCACGAGCTCATCATGCTCTCCCCCTGCGAGTTGCTGCGACTTTCTAACTTCAAGGCTCGAGCGTCGCCGTTCCACGAACGAGTCGTGTCCAGGGTGGGCACTGGCAAGCAGGCGTCAAGCGAGGAGCTTGTTGCAGGAGGGCGCGCGGGTCCACAGCGTCCCGTTCGACGTGGAGTTCCTGGCGGACAAGCTCTTCCTGGCCTTCACGCTCGCGCGAGACGTCCTTTTTGTGATGGCCGGAGCATTGGGCTTGTTGAGCTGCCACTGGGCATGACCGTGACTCGGAGCGTCGGACCTCCGCATGCGCTGCACCTGTTGGCAAAGGCACGCTCGTGTCGAGAGCTCGAAGACCGTGACCGGCGGCAGCACGTTGCCCAGGTAGCGCCGGTTCTCGGTGAGCATGATGTCCGCCGCGGCTTCGATGAGCTCGAACGGCTCCAGCAGGGGAGGGGCTCCACTGGCAGGTCGCCGGCGGCTCTTCGCCAGGGCCACCCGGCGGAGTGGCAGCGCATGCTCGGCGGCAACGAGGTCTCGAAGCGGACCAATTCCATGGTCATCGACGGCGAGATCGTGCTGCGCATCTCCTTCGAGGAGGCGTTCCAAGCTCAGGACGAGGACACGTTCCGAGTCCCGGAGGACTCGCGCGAGGCCGCGATCTTCCTCGCGCGGAAGCATGCAGTGGCCACGCGCGTCTACAAGGCCACTGCGGCAATCGCCCTGGAGTGTACAAAAGCGAGATTAGGCGCGCGCGAAGGAGGGTCCGCGCGCGGAGGAGGGCGCGAGCGCGCCGCGGGCCGCGCCGGCCGGCCGCGCCGCGCCGCCGCGGGCTCACCGCCGCGCGAGGATCGAGCCGATGGCGCCGACGACGAGCGCGCCGCCGCAGGCGATGGCCGTGATCTTCGCCGTCCGCTTGACGGCCTTGCGCTCCATCTCGTCGCTGTAGATGGCCTGCGCGAGCGTGAATCCGGCGGCGAAGCCCGCGGCGCCGCCGACGAGCGTGCCGTAGCCGAAGGCATTGATGCCGGCGCGCATGGAGATGCCCTTCTTGACCACCACCTTCGGGCCGGCGTCGAGCTTGACGGTGGTCATCGCGTCGCGCGACGCTCTCCCAGCTCGCCTCGAGGCGCTGCTCCTTTTAAGCTTGAAATTCAAGTTGAATCCGCTTGAAGTTTAACTAAACTTTGGCACACGCCGCGTGGCAGCGGCATCACGGGACCGCCTCTGCAACCCATGCGGCTACGTCACACAAAAAGCATCTTAGAGCCAGGGCGACACGAGGCACGCGCCGTCGTGGATCCACGTCTCGTAGAGCGCGTCGCAGTCGCCGCCGGCCGCCTCGGAGCAGTCCGCGACGTACTGGGTCTCGCGCGCGGCCGCCGTCGCGTCCCGGAACGCGTCGACGAGCTCGGCGTACTTCTCGGGCATGGCCGCCCGGAGGTCCGTGCGCTCCGACGGGTCCTCGACGACGTCGAAGAGGTAGGACTCGTTGAAGTACTGGGAGTAGGTCCCCGCGCCGTCGTGGACGTCGGCCCAGTACGTCGTCGGCAGCGTCCAGCACTTGGCGTCGTAGCGGTAGCGCTCGCTGTCCGGCGAGCACCAGCCCGCGGCCGTCGCGTTGATCACGACCTTGTACCGCCCGCGGAGGAACGCGCCGGTCCAGAAGCCCATGCTCGTCCGCTCGTAGCCGAGGTCGTCGGCGTGGAGCAGCGCCTCAGTGCGCGGCGCGGCGGCGCCGTGGAGCACGGCGTCGCGCTGGTCGACGCCGTCGACGCCCGCGGGCACGCGGTCCGCCGACTCCGCGAAGGCCGCGAGCGTCGGGAGCACGTCGACGACGTGGAAGAGGCCGGCGTGCGCCGCGCCGCGCCGCGCCGGTGGCACGCGCGCGGAGTGGAGGAAGGCGGGCACGCGCACGCCGCCCTCGTAGGCCGTGAACTTGGACCCCCGGAGCGGCCAGTTCGAGCCGCCGCCGCTCTGGGCCAGCGTCGCGCCGTTGTCGGACATGAAGAAGAAGACGGCGTCGTCGTAGGCGCCCCGGGCCTTGGTGAATTCGACGAAGCGCTCCACGGCGCGGTCGAGCTCGAGCGCGACGGCCGCGAAGGTCGACCGCGCCGCGTCCGACTCGTCGAGGAACGCGTCCGCGAAGCGTTTCACGAGCGCCGCGTCCGCGGCCAGGGGCTGGTGCACGGCCTGGAAGCAGAGGTAGAGGAAGAGCTTATACTCGTCGGCCTCCCGGTCGACGAGCGCCATCGCGTGGTCCGCGAAGAGGTGCGTCGAGTAGCGGTCCTCCGTCGCCGCGAGCGTCGCGCCGTCGTGGTTCATGTCCCGGATGGTCCCGTTGGAGCAGCTCCGGAGCGCCTCCGCGCAGCGGAGGCCGGCGCAGGACGCCGTCGGCGACACGGCGTGCTCGTCGTAGGTGATCTCGGCGCCGTAGTAGCCCAGGTGCGAGTCGAAGCCGCGCGCCGTCGGCGTGTCCGCGGCCCGCGCGTGGCCCACGTCCCACTTGCCGATGGCGTGCTTCCGGTAGCCCTCCGGCAGCGCCGACGGCAGGAGCGCGAACTCGTGGGGCAGCGACCACTGCGACTGGGCCGTGACGACCTCGTGCTGCATGCCCGTGTTCGACCTACCGAGTGCGCGTGTGTGGCGATGCTCTTCCTCGGTTTCCCCGTCGAAGGCTCTCGAACGTCTTCGCGGGACGCCGCGGTCGACGGGTAGCGGCCGGTGAGGAGCGCGGCGCGGGCGGGCGTGCAGTCGCACTGGCTGTAGAAGCGCGTCAGCGTGATGCCGTCGGCGGCGAGGCGGTCGAGGTAGGGCGTCGCGACGGCGTTCGTCAGGGAACCGTCGCCGTTGTACGACACGTCGCCGTAGCCCAAATCGTCCGCGACGATGAGGAACACGTGCGGCCGGTCGTCGGCCGACGCGGCGGCCGCGAGCGCGCTCGCGTTGTCGCCGCGCCGCGCCTCGAAGACGTTGTCGCCGGATGCTTTTCGCGCGCCCATGGTCGAGAAGATGAGCAGCATGAGCGTGAGCGTTACCGCGGGGATGCCCACGCGGTACCAGAGGCTCACGGGCTGCGGCGCCTCCGGCGCCTCCTCCTTGTCGTCGACCGCCTCGGCGACGGCCGGCGCGTCCGCCTTGTCGTCGTCGAGCAGCGGCGCGGCCTCCGCCGCCATTGGGTCGTGGCCGCCCGCCATCTCAAGCAATAATCGTCGACGTGCTAGAATTAAAAAAGGATATAAAGTTGTAGTTTACGGCTGGTGATGCCGCCGCGCGTGATGGCTGCCCCGTGAGGAGGTAATGCGACGTATCGTGCGCTGCGTGGGCAGCCTCGAGTCGCTGCGCGCCTACACGCACATCACGATTCCGCGGGTCGCTCCAGCGCCCGAGGAAGTCAAATTCCATTGCTCCTTCCCCTACAAAAAAGTGGGCCTCGGGGATCGAGGCGCCGGGCTGCGCTATGCGGACGACGACGACGAGCCGGAACCGCTGCCGGATGCACCCGACCCGGACGCGCCGGCGATCGTGAAGGTCCGCCGCTCGACGACAGCAGCGACAGCGCGGGCGGCATGGGGCGGACGATGCCGACGATCCTCCTCGTCACCGACCGCCGCGGCCTCCGGCGCCAGGTCGACGAGGACGAGCCGGGCCACAACGCGCTCCTCCGCGCGACGCTCCGCGCGCCCGGCCAGGTCGCGGACTTCTTCGCCGACGCGCGCCGCGGCTGGCTCGGGGCCGACGACCTCACGATCTTCCTCGACGCGCCGCCGCCGCCGGAGGCCGCGCGGTGGTGACTAAGCGGCCGCGGCGTCGGCGGCCCACCTTAGGACGGTCCCGTCGGCCGCGCGCGGCCCCTAGCGCTCGATGAGCTCGGAGCGCACGGACACGAGCGACGAGAGGATCTTCGCGCCCGCGTCCCCGGAGAGGAGCTTGCGGCCCTCGCCGGCGATCTTCGCGTCGATCTCCGCGAGCCTCAGCATGTGCTCGTGCTTGATCTTGAGCGCGGTCTTCTTCGCGACCTCGCCGTCGGCTTTGGCCTCGGCGACCGCGCCTTCGCGAGGAACTCCGCGGCCTCCTTGCGGCCCTCGGCCTCGGTCTTCTGTACCATGCAGACGTGCTTCGCCTCCTGCAGGTCCTTGTCGCAGCGGATGCGCGCGGACGCGACGACGTCCGTCTTCCGCGTCCGCGCGTCGAAGGCCGCGACCTCGACCTCGCCGCGCGCCTCGGTCATGGCGACCTTCATGGCGCCCCGCGCCGTCTCGATCTGGACGGTCCGGTCCGACCGCGCGGCGGCGAGCTGCTCGTCCATCTGGATCTCGTAGCGCTCCGTCTCCGCGGAGATGCGCTTCCGGTCGAGCGCGAAGGACTGGTCGATCTCCGCGACCTTCTGCTCGTTGGCGTTGGCCAGCTGGAGCAGCACGTGCTCGTGGACGCGCGCAAGTACGCGATCCGCGACAAGAAGCTCGAGGTCTACGCGCGGCTCGCGGCGAACGAGAGCCTCGTGCTCTCGAGCTCGACGGACAAGGAGACGAACATGCTCCTCCTCGCGGACAGCGTGCTCAAGGCCCAGGGCTCGACCAAGTCCGAGGCCCAGATCATGGCCGACCTGAACATGCTGCGCCTCGCGTCCCACGCCTACGGCCTCGGCTCGGGCACCTACATCCCCGAGGAGAAGGCCAAGGGCTTCCTGGGCTAGGCGCTTCTAACCGGCGGCGCTCGTTGTTACGCGGCGACGGCGGCGGCCGCGGCCGCGCGCCGCGCGGCGCCGCGCGCGCGGAGTCGCGCCAGGCGCGCGTTGGACCGCGCGTGCTCCGCCTCCGTCGGCGGCTGGTCGACGCGCCAGGCCGGCGCGCCCTTGTGGGCGTAGGGCGCCGGCTGCGACGCGGGCCGCTCGCCCGCGTGGGCCTGCGCCGTGGGCCGCGACTCGCCGCGCGGCCGCCGCGCCGGGGGCGACGCGTCGCCGCCGCCGCGCGGCGGCGCGCCGAACCAGGGCGACGCCGGCGGCGACGGCGCGGGCGGCGCCGGCCGCGCGGGCCGCCGCTCGGGCGACGCGCCGTCCGCGGGCGCCGCGGCCGCGGGCCGCGCCGCGGGCGCCGCGCGCGGGAGCTCGACGGCCGGCGGCGCCGCCGGCGCGCTCCGCGCGGGCCGGGGCCGGCCGTCGCCGCCCGGCGCGCCCTGGAAGCCCGGCAGCGCGGACCGCGGGGATCCTCAG